TGGTGACGATCTTGATGTACTACTGTCGCAGGGCTTCGCCTAAGCACCGCTACAATATTATCGAGGACTATGGTGGCAGGGGGCGCCGCACACGGCTAAGAATATGATCACGTGGATCAACTTGTGTTCCTCTGGGGTGCCCCTGCCTCCGTATATAAAGGCTCAAGGGGGGGGTGCGGCCGGCCTAGGAGAGGCGCGCCAGGAGGAGTCCTACTCCCTCCGGGAGTAGGATTCCCCCCCCCCCCCAATCCTATTTGGAATAGGATTCGCGGAGGGGGGAAAAGAGGAAGGGGGGCCGGCCCCCTCTCCTTGTCCTATTTGGACCAAGGGAGGGGAGGGGCGCGCGGCCCATCTCTGGCTGCCTCTTCTCTTTTCCACTAAGGCCCATATATCTCCCGGGGGGTTCCGGTAACCTCCCGGTACTCCGGTAAAATCCCGATTTCACCCGGAACACTTCCGATATCCAAACATAGGCTTCCAATATATCAATCATTATGCCTCGACCATTTCGAGACTCCTCGTCATGTCCGTGATCACATCTGGGACTCCGAACAACCTTCGGTACATCAAAACGTATAAACTCATAATATAAATGTCATCGAAACCTTAAGCGTGCGGACCCTACGGGTTTGAGAACAATGTAGACATGACCGAGACATGTCTCCGGTCAATAACCAATAGCGGGACCTGGATGCCCATATTGGCTCCTACATATTCTACGAAGATCTTTATCGGTCAGACCGCATAACAACATACGTTGTTCCCTTTGTCATCGGTATGTTACTTGCCCGAGATTCGATCATCGGTATCCAATACCTAGTTCAATCTCGTTACCGGCAAGTCTCTTTACTCGTTCCGTAATACATCATCCCGCAACTAACTCATTAGTTGCAATGCTTGCAAGGCTTAAGTGATGTGCATTACCGAGAGGGCCTAGAGATACCTCTCCGACGATCGGAGTGACAAATCCTAATCTCGAAATACGTCAACCCAACTTGTACCTTTGGAGACACCTGTAGAGCACCTTTATAATCATCCAGTTACATTGTGACGTTTGGTAGCACACAAAGTGTTCCTCCGGCACACGGGAGTTACATAATCTCATAGTCATAGGAACATGTATAAGTCATGAAGAAAGCAATAGCAACATACTAAACGATTGGGTGCTAAGCTAATGGAATGGGTCATGTCAATCAGATCATTCAACTAATGATGTGATCCCGTTAATCAAATAACAACTCTTTGTCTATGGTTAGGAAACATAACCATCTTTGATTAACGAGCTAGTCAAGGAGAGGCATACTAGTGACACTCTGTTTGTCTATGTATTCACACATGTATTATGTTTCCGGTTAATACAATTCTAGCATGAATAATAAACATTTATCATGAAATAAGGAAATAAATAATAACTTTATTATTGCCTCTAGGGCATATTTCCTTCACCTTCTCCTTCAAAATCGACTCGACTAACTTTAGCTATTGTGAGAGGTATAAACTTTAACTCCGGGCTATAAAACTAGAGAGATTACCACTAGATTAGTGACTGTGGGGTTTTGGGGAAGGCCTATGTGTACACACTGAAAATTATTGTATAATATACGATGAACACATTTCATATATACATTGACCTTTTTTAATATACAATGATCTTTTTAATTATGTGATGATTTGTTAAATATACGATGAAGTTTTTTAATATATATTGAGTTTTTTTATAATGCGATATTTTTTGTAAATACACACTGAACATTATTGTATAAATGTACAATGAACATTATTATATTATATCCTATGAACATTTTGTTATATGCATGAACATTTTTTAAATATCGCATAATAAAAGGTTCAGTGTAAATTAAAAATATGTCGACAGTATTGAAAAAACATACATTGTTACTTACAAAACCTATATAAGAGGGAAATGTGCAAGAATTAAAAAAAAGGAAAACCCTAAGAATACCCAAGATCTGAAAAAGGATAAAAGATATCCAAAATAAATACATTCAAAAAAAGGAACAGTTGTAAAAGTTTCACGGTCAGGACGTGTCTAATGCGGAGTATAAAAATATGGAAGTCTCCACTAGACGCAACCAATTGTGTAGCATACCAGTCAGCGCGCGTTTGCCATGTATGATGCATCCCATATTTGAATCCTAGTGGGCGCTGTTTTTTTACGCTGGTTTTATTTCTCCCATGAAGGGTTTATTTTCACAAACAAGAAACAAGGGCGTTTGCATGATTACATATAAAGCAAGTTTTTTATTTGGTGAAAGAACATGCCACATCGGCGCCTGACTGTAGACAGGCCCGGCCGGTCAGTTTCCTCGTCAATATGTGTTTATACGGAGTGCGCGCCCCAGACTAGGTTCTGACTTGCAATATTTTTAATAGTGATACCAATTCGTTGAGACTGCCCAATTGTAGTACCGACATTTTCCTGTCGTCCCCATGCCATGTTTGGTGCCCAGTGGCGTAGCGAGCGGGTGCCGGTGTGCCGTGGCACACCCAGAATTTCGAGGTATGTTTTACCATATATGAATTCGGCTAAATTAATCCTTTTAAACAGCCCTCAAGCATAATTGGCAATAGCCCAAATCAATTATTTTGAAGTGTGCACCCTCATCATTTTATTTCTGGCTACGCCACTGGTGGTGCCTTCGTTCCTGAAGCATGGTCGCAGCAGATGCAGGGTACTACTAGACTCGTACTATATTAGTACTAGTAGTATTAGAATAAATGCCCACAGGTTCCGACTAATCATATGTACTTTGATAAATCGCTAGGCGGTACCCTCTCTATGTGCATGTGCACGTCGACGTCTTGCTAACTTGTTTTTTCCATGGTCAGGCATCACCATGTCACCCCGCAAAAAAAAAGACACCACCATGTCAGACTCGAGTCGGAGAACCAGTAATGACCAATTGTTGACGCCTTCCACGCAGCCATGCCAAGAGGAGATAGGCCGAGTCTCCGAGAGGAAACCACACCATCCCTTCTGGCGACCGCGAAGACGTTATCCCAGAGAAGGTATGCCTCTAATTTCCTATTTACAGATAGCCTAGTTATGCCTTATGGGATTTTGCAATGATATTTATTATTATTTTGATGGATATGTTAAGGGTCCCGGGTTTAGTTTCGCTCCGGGCCCCCAAAACCGGCACTGCCTCAAAACAGTTTGGAGCCATGTCCAGGAGGGAACCTCAACTCTAGATTCACTTTTCAGCTTACACCAAGAGCGCGCTGCAACTTAACCCTCTGCACCTCCCTCAATGCACCCATTACATAATGCGTAGTAATTAGTGATAACTCTTCAAGGCCCTCCAATCATTAACGCGGGTGGTTAGAGATGAGTCGCTGGTCCTCCGTAGTTGAGATCTCAGATTGAAATCTTTCAGCTGCGCTCGCCATTCTCCGGTCAGCCCAACGAACTAGCCAAGGTTAGCAGTAGCACTACTTAATGTGATCTAAACACTTTTATATTAGCTTACGGAGGGAGTACTTCATCCTCCCATAATATAAGAGCTTCTTTATATTAGTGTGGTCTGTAGTGTAAAAAGCACTCTTATATATATTATGGTACGGATGGAGTACTATACTAATCTGTTCTAATTCTTGTGTTGTGGTGCGTATTCTGGAAGGGGTCTTAGTTCTTGTACGTGATGATTAGACAGTTATGGATAGGAAAGATCCCCTAAACACTAAATATTTTCCTAAAAATAGTCTAAATATTAACTTGTTCTTTAAGCGCCGCCAAATGGAAGACAACTTGCATCGGTATGGCATGTTAATCTATGCTAAAAATAAATAGCAACTAAGTTCTCTTCTAGTGAAACTATTAATTTTGCATCTTATTGGCTATCATAGAGGTAATATAGATGTAATCATGTTTTATATGGACAAATGGAATATTATAACAACTTGACTTGGCCCCCCTATGTC